CGGGGGGCTTTGGGGAGAAAAAGGAAAAATAAAATCTTTAAAAAACAAACAAACAGCAAAATGCCTCTACCCATCAACCCTGTAATCTTATTTATTTCAGAATGATGGAACAGTCAGAAAAGTCAAACAGCAACTAGTCAGTGGCTTTTTTTGGGGGGCTGGAGGGGAGGGGGTCAGTGGCTTCTTAAACCCTGGTGTTCTATGAGTCCTTGAAGGCTATTTTACTAAATCCACAATTCACACTTCCTTTACATTCTACCAATTTCTCTTGAAAGCAGGCATATGGTATCAGGTATATTCAAACTACTGACCGATCTTAGAACCCTTAGAACGCTTTCCCTTGTATAAAATAATTATATTAGAATTATAGTAAAATAAATATATAAAAAACAACCATATTCCTCATAAAGTTATAGAGTTACACTATGATTCAATAATTCCATTCCTACGTATATACCCAAGAAAATGGAAAATATATGTTCACACAAAGGCCTGTACATGAATGTGTCACAGCAGCACTATTCACAACAGCCAAAAAGTGGAAACAACCCAATGTCCATCGACACATGAATGGATAAACAAAATGTAGTATCCATACAATGGAATATTATTCTGCCCTAAAAAGGGATGAAGTACTGACACTACAATGTGGGTGAATCTTGAAAATACAATACTAAGTGAAAAAAAGCCAGACACAAAAGACCACATATTGTATGATTCCATTTATAGGAAATGTGTAGAACAGGCAAATATATAGAGTCAAAATCTATTTTTCGTTGCCAAGCAGTGAGGGAGGGGAGACTGGGGAGTGACTGCTAAAAGGTAGGGGGTTTCTTTTGGGGTGATGAACATGCTCTGGAACTAGTTAGTTGTGGTGGTTGCACAACCTTGTGAATGTATTAAGTGCCACTGAATTTTTCACTTTAAAAGGTGAATGTTATGACAGGTGAATTACATATTTTGATTTTCAAATATTCAACCAGGGTCATGTCTGTTGTCAATAGATAGATCAGGCTGGATTTTGACTTTCAGAAAATTATAACTATGTAAGACTGGTTTTTTTGACAAGGCTTGAAATCTAGCTGAGGGAAATTCTAAACAGGACATCCTGAAGGGCTGCAATTAGCACACAAACACCCTCTCCCAAGGTGACTGCTTTGTTAAAAGGACAACACGCTTTCAGATATCGAGGTTTTACCAAATATACTGAAACTATCATGACTGTTGGAAAACATCAAATCCTACTCAGTCTATTCACTTCCTAAATAAAATTCAGATCTTTATATTGTTCATATAATCCTTATACCTCAAGACAACACATTTTAAGACTCACATTACTCACAAAACCATTTCAAAATCCTGGCCACAAGCAAAATCAGATCCAAATGAAATTGTTTTCATTTCTTTTTGAGGTTTCAAGTTAAATCAAACTTAAACAAACATCTCTCAGTTTTATAAGAATTACTTTAAAACAATACTCAGAGGTCAGAATTTACATGGCATAGACGATGCTGCCATTTTTTAAAGAAGTGGTTTCAGTAAATTGTGGTTTAGGATGCAGAGGTTTTGGTGCATTTTAATTATGAGTCATAGAGTGAATAAAGAAGTTGTAAAAACACACACACTCTTCAGCAGGAAAAGCATTAGAAAGACAAACAGTATGAGAGGACAGACTGGTTTTGAATTCATCTATCTTGTCAACAAAACTTAACCAGAGGTGTAACGGAAAGAGGACTGGAATGGGGAGCCTTGGTGCTAGCCCTGGTTCTGCCATTAACTAGGAGAGTAACCTCAGCAAAGTCATTTGACCCTCTGGAGGCCTCCATTTCTCATCAGTAAAATGAAAGAACTGGACTCCAAGATTTCTAAGTCTTACAACTCTCAACAGTCTTGGATTCTATTGTTAAGCAGCTTAGGGCTGTGGGAGGTCCAGCGATTACACACTAGGCAGCTCTCATATTTTTGTGTACTTAGGTATCCATGCCATAGAAAGTAACAAGAGAACCCAAGATTAGCCACAGAGAAAAAAGAAAAAGTGCACACATTTCCTGCTGGTACTGGTTTACTCCTGCTGGACCTAATAAAGAGAAAGCACCTTTGCCAATTTTCCAGGAGATAGGAGTGGTTCCTGTGTCTCACCACACCCACCATAGTTGGTTTTTCCTAAGAGAAATCCAGTCGGGACTCTACAAAATGTTGTAAAGCACCAAGTACTCTTAGTCACTGCATGACTAATAAGACAGATCTATTCGAAATTAAAGAAATGAAACAGCTTTCTCTTTCTATCACAAAAAGAAATAAGCAGCTTTCATTCCAAACAGTCAAGGAGTCCTAGATGACCACAGTGACTTGCAGAGATACTCAGCAATAAACAGTGTCAACCAAAGAAAATGGATTACCCATAGAACTAGAATGTTCAGAGCACTGAGGTTCAACATAACATCATTATTCAAAGTAGCCTTTTAATGCAATTCAGTTTACAACTCCAACTTCCAGAGTAAAAAGCAATATTAAAGGCTCGCCAAGATGCATCACCTCTTTCACAGCAAGAGACAATCAGATCTGCCTGTGATAAAACAGAAGTCGCTATCATACGGACTGGTCTGTGGAAGCCAGAGATCAAATGAGGCCAACTCAGTCGTTTCAGGTGGCTCCTGAAAGTTAAGATGACATCCGGAAGAGCTCCTCCAAAACAGGACAGTCCTGGAGAACCTGTCTCCTCCGATTTGGGCACAACACACACACACACACACACATTCTTAAAATGGTTCTTTGTCAAAGGGAGGGCCAAAGACCACCCCCAGGGCACATAAGTGACAATCTGTCGGATTATGCCTGGTGACATTCCTTTCGGGAGGGGTAGAGAGATTAACTTGGTACCCACACATGGCCCTCTAGGTGGTACATGGATGGACATCATGGGGTCAGTGAAGTCCCCAGACACCTACGCAAAATTTTGTCTATGCACATTTTTCTGGGGAGAGAGACCTTGGGCAGTCAAAAATTCTCAGAGCCTGTGAACCAAGGGAAGTTAAGAACCACTGACTTAGTGCCAGATATAAAACGGAAGAAATCCACTGAAAGTGCCCACATGAATAAGATAGAAAGTAATGCCCGTTATTTGAGGGGCAAAATAACAGAGTGCTGTCTTTTCCAAACAAAAGGAAAATATGATCTGATGGTCTGAAGTCCTTGAGGGTCAGGTAGTCCACTCCCTTCATCCTCTGGGCTAGATGAGGACAAGGAGCTGAGAGGCTCTCGCCCAAAACCACAGATCCAGAGCTGGTAAGTGGGGAAGCTGAGCACCAAATCAGGCTAGGTTCCTGCCAGAATGGTATGCTGATACTTTTTTCAGAATACATTTGACCAAAATGTCCCATACCCTTATAAATATTCCACTCCAATAAGAAGATGGCCTTCAAAAATTTTTACATCAAGCTTCAGCATAGGGACTTGACACATTCCAATATCCCCCAATTCATCAACCAAATCACAAAAGATAGCAGACAGCAGGTGTATAAGGGGGAACCAGAGGGGCTCACTGTCCCCTATCCTGTAGCACTATGACTGCAACTTGAAAAAGCAGCACAGGCCACAAGCTCACTGAGGGAAGCGCTCCTAAATGTATTGGAAAAAAGACAGCCACTGAGAGCCCTTTAACAAAGATACTGAGTCAGGGTCAAGCTGACTTCAGAGTAGAGTCGTGGGATTTTAATCTGCAAGCTCCTCGACCTTCTGAGGAGTCTCTCTCTCTCTTAAAGTTAACATTAAGAGTGTTGCCTACACACTAAAGGATTTTCTCAACGCAGGTAACGGGGTCATCTAAAGTTAAACTGAGAAGAACCTTTCCAGTTCCGTGTTCACAAACACTACATGGAGGAGAAGCAAAGATAACACCCAGTTATGCTGAGATCAAATTTAAAAATAATTATAGTCATAAAAAGTTACAGGACCAATTGTTCCGATGCCAAACTCTGCCTCAGCATATGAAATTTAAAAGTGACCAAAAACTTAATCTCACCAGAGAAGTGAAACCGAAGTGACATTTGCCTCCCAGTTCAATGACAGCATGTCCTTCAATTTCAAAGGAAGTGCTTTATTTATTAAAGGAGATTTAATGGCATACTACTGCACGGTGCATACATACATCGCCTCCAAAGACGTCCGTTAGGTAAAGTTTCTGATCGCCTGGGAACTACATTTAGCCCCGTCTCCCAGCCCCCGACTGCAAGAGGCCTTCGGAAGCACCTGTGGCCTGAAAAACCTTTAACCAATTTTCAAGGCTTCCCTGGCTGCAGTCTGGAAGAGTGTTCGACCGTTCTATTTTGGGTCAAGGAGATTCTCCTCCACCCCAAGTGACCTCGAGTGGGCAAGATCAGCGCGGGAGAATGCGCTGCGAGTGCTTTTTCAGCAGGCCAGCGGCCCCCGCCGCGAGACTCCGGAAAGGATGGAGACCCGGCCACGCTCGAGGCGGCGAAGGGATGCGGCCGGGTGTCCGGGGCTCGCGCCGCACGGTCGCTCGGGATCCCGCAGCCCGGGGCCGGGCGGAGCCGTCCGGAGCCTGCGGAGCAGCGGGGATCCCCGGGGCACGCGGAGGGAGGAGGGGGGAGGAAACGCAGCGGGCTCCGGAGCTGCAGGTGCCGCCGGGGGAGGGGACGAGGTCGTCCGGGGCTGCCGCGGCCAGGGGACTCAGAGTGCGGTTCTGGACTCGGACAAACTGGTCACATCCTCGGGCTGGGTGACCTTGAGCACGTGTCTCGACAGCCCTGCGCCTCGGTTTCCTCACCTCTCCAATGGGGGTTGTTCGAGCGGAAAAGGCACCCCGGAGCGCTTGGCGCGGCGCCTGGCACATCGTAAGCGCTCGCTGCGAGCGGGCCGCCGCTGGCTCCGCTCCCCGCCCGCGGGCACGGGGAAGCCCCGCGCGGGGAGTCCCCGGGAGGCGGATCCGGGGCCGGGGCCGGGCCGGGGGGCCGGGCCGGGGGGCCGGGCCGGGGACTCACCGAGCACGTCGGCCGAGCGGTGCCGGGCCACGAAGCACGCGTCGTCCCCGTAGCACGCGCCCTTCTTGAGGAGGCCCTTCCGAAAGTCCTTGCCGAAGCCGCAGCCGGCCGTCACCAGCCCGTAGTCGCCGCCGCCGCCGCCGCCGCCGCCGCCGGCCCTGGGGTCGGTCTGCGAGAGGCCGCCCAGCACGGCGCGGGCCACCAGCCGCCCGTACGAGAGGACCGAGAACATCGCCGCCGCCGCCCCCCCGAGGAGGCGGGGGGCCCGGGGAGCAGGAGAACGCAGAGGCCCGGAGCCGGCTCTCTCCTCCGCCGCCGCCGCGCCGCCGCCGCGCTCCTCAGGGCGGCGCGCAGTCGCCGCCGCCGCCCCTGCCCGCCGCGCGGGGCCTCGCACACGCTCCGCCGCGCGCACCGGAGCCAGAGCGAGGTCAGAGCCAGCGGCTCCTCCGCTTCAGCCCGACTGGGGTCTCGGCTGCAGCCACCGCTGCCGCCGCCATCTTCCGCTCCACTAGCGTGTTCCGGGCCGCGCCGGCAGCGCCGCCCCCTCCGCGGCCACGCCCCTAGCCCCGCCCACGATTCGCGGCTCAGGCCCAAGCCCCGCCCCCTCGGGCTCGCAGCCGTGTGCAATCACCGAGGTCGAGCGTGCGCAGAGGGTGTGGACGCAATGTCTCCTGGGAGTTGTAGTCCGGGAGTTGTGGTCGCTTTTTACTTGACTGCCTAACGTCCAGGACCTAGGAGGATTCCCCAGACGCTGGATCTCAGTTAAGTTACTGAGAATTACAAGTGGGCTGTTTGAGAGTTTCCTCCCCTGTTTTAACTGTCTCTCTTAAAGGCTGTTCTTTTAAGTAACGCCACCACCTCTTTAAAGAACAACCTGAAGGAAACTAGGTCGCATAATAGGTCACGTAATATTATTCTGTAGTATACACATTAAGAAACTGAAGTACACAAATCTAGTGACGCCTCCAAAATTTATATACTAGAAGGGTTTAGGGGCAGCAATCTGTTTGGAAAGAAGAGCCATTTTGCATAGTATTTAGGAACATTCAAGAATATGCTGTAAGTCCCTATTAGATTGGGGGTGGGGGTTGAGTGGGGGAGACAGTGATGGAGATACAGGCACGGCCACTGCAGATATGTCACACAGAAGTGTTTCAGACTTTGCAGATGGTCCTGCCAAATTGGGAGTAAAAAAGTCCAGGCCCCAAATTTCTTTGTCCCAAACCTTAATTTTCTTGAGGGTCCAGCTGGCTAAGCAGGTCTTTTCCCGACCAATGCCTTGGGTGCCCAGAGAGGTCATGCAATGCTAAAAACTTGCAAAGATGAGGCCCCTTCCTCTCTCCTTCCACAGCTGCCACCTCTTCTCCTCAAAAGGACAGCCCTTGGCAAGAAAGGCAGCTTCCCTCCTTTTTTTTAAAGCTCTCAGCTCACCCCTAACAAAGACATCAGTAGCCTTCTCCAGATTTTGACTATTATTATAAGAAACCTTCTCCTGAAATTATTTAGGTTGAATAATAACTAAATTTAATAGGGAGTTTGTAATCTAACGGGAAGATTAGCTCACCAAATATGTGTAATATATTTGTATCTGTGTGTGAATGTACATTCAGATTACATATCATGCTCAGTGGCGCTATACATAATCTAACCCTTGCGTACCTCTCCACCCCATTTGGTGCCATGTCCCCTGAGCTGACTGGGCTCTAACCATACTCACAGCTGCCTCATGGCCTTTGCTTTTGCTCTTCCTTCTACTCACTAGAATGTTATTCCGTTATCCGAGGGTCCTGTGCTCTTTCTGGCTGTATCCCCAGAACATATGGGCAAATTGTAAATACTTTAGTAAATGAATGAAAGAATGAATGAATATTTCGCTAGATCCTAAGTTCCCCAAAGGCAAGGATCATATGGCATTTTATTATTAGGATCTGATGCAATGCCTGGCACACAGTAGGGGAGTTTGTAAATATTTATTGAATTAAAACAAGGAATAATTGAATACAAACTATAAATAATATAAAAAATAATGTCTGTTGAGTAAAGTAATGATTGAATGAATGAGGTTCACAAATAAAAGAAAATTGAGATTTGAGGCAAGTGATCTAATTTGGAGTAATTTTTAGTTTTATCGAAACATACATATGTATCACCCAGAAGCGTTGGTCCTTTCCCATTCACTGTTGACAGGTCTGTACTTATTCTGGGGACTCTTATCTCACTCTTGAAAAGATTTTTATACCTTTCTTAATACATCTGCCAACTATCCACTCAGAGTGTAGTATTCTGTTATCCTAATTACTGTCATTAAACAGTTCACAGTGTACCGAGTACTCTATATGTTTGTGTCCTTAGGGTTTTCATCAAAATTGGACTGATTAAGTCACTTAATATAGTGAGTGGCACTTTGTCAAATATGTAGATCCCCCAAAAAAGTTCATTTATTGGATAAAGGATATAGTGATCCCAAGAACACAGTCACACCTTGCTATTTTTTCTGGCCCACGAGAATTGGAGAGCACCCACAAGAGAGGGTGCAGCCCCAAAGATCCTCTGCTTGGCATTTATGTCCACGCCAGCTGTGCTAAAGGTTGTTCTTTCAAGCACACACCACTACCAGATCCCAGCCGGGCTGTCAGGTAATTCTACCCCAAGGACAAACTTTTTAAAATAGCATGTCAACCCCTATTCCTTGCCTTGTCAGACTCCTTCAGACTGCCCCTACCTTTCATTTCAGGGCCTGTATTACCTAATTTCTGTGTCACTCAGAAGAACCGGTTGGATGAGATGAGCAGGAACGTAAGATGTGACTCTGAAGCTGTTAACGTCTGCTCTCATGGGGCTGCCGCTTGCAGCGTTAAATGATACAGGTGTCTTGAGTTTCCTGCAAATGAGTTGCTCGCCAGAGCACCATGTGCACCAAATCCTTTCTCAGAGCTCCTTTGCGCTTTTTGGAAAGGAGAGGAGACAAGGCCTCAGGTTCCCTTGAATCATTTATTCCAGAGCCAGCTCTGAAAAGTTTCGCCATCCTGGGGCGTTTCATCATCGCCAGGAGAGAGTATTTTGAAAAAACACCTTCCCCTGCCCTCCCCCAGGAGCACAATTCACTTTTGACATTTTGACATTTTACTACACTTAAAAGGCCCTAAGAGTTTTCTTCCTTAACAGAGTTACATTCCTAGCACTTCAAGGATTCCTGGGAGGTCACTTGTCACTCTCAGAGGCGAACAAGTGGTGAAAATACCATCTGTGTTCCCAGGGCACCTCCATGGCATTAGGAAAGAGCTTTGCACTGGAGTCACCCCAGCTCCTAAAAAAAGCAAAAAAAAAAAAAAAAAGCATGAATTCCCTAATGAGAGTTTCTGTCGGACTGGTAAACTGATCTCTTTTGATTTCTTTTTGCTAACTTATTCAAAAGAAGCACTAATTAGTTTATGGCAAGGTTTCTCAACCTTGGCACTATTGACATTTGGGGCCAGAAAATTCTTTGTTGTGGGGAGCTATCCTGTGCATTGGAGTGGGCTTAGCTGCATCCCCGCCTCTATCCACTGGATACCAGTAGCACACCTCACTCCCTAGCTGGGACAACCAAGACCGTCTCCAGAGATTGCCATGTGTCCCCTGGGGGCAAAATCACCCCCAGTTTAGAACCACTGGGTTATACCAATGCCGTGCAAGTGAACAAATATTCGGTGAGCACTTGTTCTGTTCAAGGCTCCGGGCTAAGGATAAAAAAAATGTTGGTGCCTTCATGGAAGTCACAGAGTAGTAGGAGGGTTAAAAGGGAAGTAAATATATAGAGAAAATAAACACCGTCAATGGAAATAAAGGAGGGATGTGGGGGGGAGAACGCCCAGGGCACTTCATGAAGAGGTGACGTTTGTGAGAGGCCTGAATGGACAGACAGAGGTCTGAGGAGGGGGGACAGCCGTTCCAAGAGGAGGAAACGGAAACTGAATGAAGGCTCAGAGTGAGCGGAGAACAGGCAGTCTGGTGTAGCTCCACCTGAGGGTTTCAATCGAGGAATAACAGAAGTGGGGCTAGGGAAATAGTTTAGGAGCTATTTGGCCATAAAAAGGAATGACGTGCTAATCCACGCTTCAACATAGATGAACCACGAAAATGCTATGCTAAATTAAAGCAACCCGTCTCAAAGACCACATATTGTGTGAGGCTGTTTATGTGAAATGTCCAGAATAGGCAAGCCCATAGAGAAAGAAAGCAGATTAGTGGTTCCCAGAGGCAGGGGGGAGGGGGAATGGGAAGTGACTGCTAACGGGTGCGGGTGTGGGGTTTTCTGGGGGGGAGGGGGGGTAATGAGAATGTTCTGGAATTAGATAATGGTGATAGTTGCACAACCTTATAAATATGCTGGAAAACATTGTACCCTTTAAGAGGGTGAATGTTGTGGTATGTGAATTCCATCTCAATTAAAAAAGGAGTTTAGGACCTGCTACAGAGGGCCCTATATGCTATGCTGAGGGCACTTCATGCTGGAGACACCAAGCGGTCACCAAGTGCTTTTAATACGCCAGTAATAATGAAAAAATAATAAAAAATAATTAAAATAAAAAATAAAATAATAATAGCAGTAATAAGAACAGTAATGAGAGTGAGAACAATAGCTCCCTTAGACAGCACTTAATGTGCATTACCTGCACCATCTGCCCTGAGCACCTGTTTAAACACATGACCACCTGACAGTCTCGTCTGCATTGTTGTTGATAGTCCCTAGGACTGGTTATTTTGTTTATTGTTTGTCTTCCCCATGACTAAAATGTAAGTTCCATAAGAGCACGGGATTTTTTTTTTTTTTTGAGGAGGATTAGCCCTGAGCTAACTGCTGCCAATCCTCCTCTTTTTGCTGAGGAAGACTGGCCCTGAGCTCACATCTGTGCCCATCTTCCTCTACTTTATATGTGGGACACCTGCCACAGCATGGCTTGCCAAGCGGTGCCATGTCTGCACTCGGAATCTGAACCCCTGGCCGCCGAAGCGGAACATGTGAACTTAACCGCTGCACCACTGGGCCGGCCCCAGGAACAGGGGATTTTGTGTATTCTATTCACTACTTTATCTCAAGTGTCCAGAACAGTGCTGGGCCTATAATGGGTGCTAAATAAATACCTAACAAGTGAATGTTTTTGTTTAAGAGAACCTGAGATCACATAGAACAAGCAACTTATTTTACAGCTGAGGAAAGGGAGGTGAGTGACATGTTCATTCCATAGCAAGTCAGTGGGTGGAGCTGGGCTGAACTGGACAGGTGTCCTGGAGACTCCTGGTGCCTGCCCTGGAGGCCCTTTTGAAGGAAGTAGCCGTAGGCTGTTTGTTCCATGAACTCATCATGCTTTGCATTGTGTGTGATGGTTGTGTTTTCCCATCTAGCATCCACTCCCCCCATTCTCTGAGAGTAGTATTTTGATTTTCCATGGAGGAATAACTCATCGTCCTCTTGGTTGACGCAGTTTCCGTGGAACTGGCTCGATGGAGGTGGACACATGGCTCAGGTCTGACCAATCAGAGCATTGCTTTCTCTTGGTCACAGTTGGGTCCAGAGAGAAGGTACATGACTCAAGCAAAGCCAATGAAACTCCCTTCTGGGATTTTGCTGAAAGTATTAAGGAGAAATTCTCAGCAGGGTTTCTAAGCTGGTGGAATGCAGGCTTGGAACTGCCGATGGCCATCTTTGCCACTACTTGGGAAGAGCCAGCCTGAGAATGAAGACGAGACAGAGAGAAGCAGAGCCTAGAGATGGTAAGCAGGCCTCATGGCATCCACCAAACCCCTGAATCCAGCTTTGCCTGAAGGAAGATCAGTCCCTGAACTCATATTAATTCCCTATTTTGCTTAAGCCACTTTGAGTTTGGCTTGCAAAACAGGGATTCCCGACTAACACATCCTGTGAACATGGCTACAGTTATTGAATCCAGAAAAAGGTCCCCAAACCAAAGACAGCTGTTCGAAGGGAACTTCTCCTCCGCTTATTTACATGGAGAAGAGGGAACTGCCACTGTCAGTAGAACTAGTGAAGGAAACTTCCAACCTCCTCCTTTCATACCTCCTCGAGGGGAGTGGGTCTCATTGGTGGGTTCGGGAGAAGGTGCTAAGCACGCTACCCAGTCTCTTTCCCTCTTTTCTTTCTTTCAGTGGCCTGACCTTTAGACGCTCATGTTTCTGCCTCCGCCATGGGGAGTCGGGCCCTCTGGGGGAGGTCTGCAGTAGCCCAGCCTGTGACGGGTAAATCAGTGTCCTCCAGACGGCATCCCGTGCACAACGAAACCACGTTCTCCACTCAGCCTTCCCAATAAAACTGACCCTTTTGAGCTCCAGCAGCCTGATTCACACCTCTCCTTCTCCGTGGGTTTAGAATTTGGAAAGGCCAAGAGGGGGGGTCATTAATTATCACCTTGTAAACCCCAACATGTTAATTTTCTCTTCAGAAAATTTGGAGAGCCACGAGGACTGACATCTGGGGGCTGAAATAACACTTGGAGATCAGGTTTCCAGTGTGATCAGGGCTCCAGGCTTAAAGGTAATTATGAGTCAGGTGGGTTCTTGACCTGGGTAGTTTGTGACAGCTACAGTTGTTCAGCAAGATTTCACCTGGCAGGGGCCTGAATACAAGGACCTCTGGGGCGGGCCTTGACCTTACCCATGTGAGCACGGCTTTGACCTCAGCAGGTGGCTGGGACAGGGATTAGGTTATGGGGGGGGAGTTGGGGGGGGGAGCCTTTCTCCCCTCGGGATTGCTTACTTTAAAGACGACAGAGCTTTAGCTTACAAACGTTTAGGCTCTGGTGGGTAGATTTTTGCTTCTTGTATTACATCTTTCAGCAAAGCTCCAGGCTTGATTTTAAACAGCAAAGGCAGCTAAATTCTACGGGGTTGACAGAGCTCTTGTTTGTGGAGTTGTAACCTTTTTACAGCATGAACACAGGGTGTAGGTGGGTGCTGCCAAGTCAGCAGCCCCCAATCTTCTTCTGCAGATTGTTCTGATCTTCATTCGTGGTCATAAGCAGGACCCGGGGAGGGGCTGATCTCTTGACTGCAGTTGGCTTGTCACACGCTGGTAAGGCTCACCCCACCACTGGGATCTCAAGTTGGCTCTCATTTGTTAATTGCATAAGCCTTGATCATTGATTGCTATGGATTTGGGGAGCCCAGACTCTGACTTTACTCACAGAATAGGGGTATATTTTATTAATGAAAATGAATGAAAAGAACAAGGTCTTTATTATATAAGAAATATGCTTCTTTGTGGGTTGAGGTAGAGAAAGCTGATGAAAACCTAAAAACTAAGAAGGCAGTTAATGAAGCTTATGCCTAAAAGGCTTTGTCTTTGGGAAACAAGTTTGCTCAGGAAATTAAGGAGGAACTAGATTTTTTTTTTTAAAGATTTTATTTCCTTTTTCAAAATTTTTTTATTAAGATTTTACTTTTCCTTTTTCTCCCCAAAGCCCCCTGATACATAGTTGTGTATGTTTAGTTGTGGGTCCCTCTAGTTGTGGCATGTGGGATGCCGCCTCAGCATGGCTTGATGAGTAGTGCCATGTCGGCGCCCAGGATCCGAACCAGCGAAACCCTGGGCCGTGGCAGCAGAGCCCGCGAAGTTAACCACTCGGCCACAGAGCTGGCCTGAAAAAATTTTTTTGTGGTAATTATGTATGGAGACAGATGTTAACTAGACTTATTGTGGTGATCATTTCACAATATATACAAACATCCAATCATTTTGTTATACACCTGAAACGAATATAATGTTATATGTCAAATATACCTCAATTAAAAAAACATGCTTCTGTCATGCTACCAGAACAGAACCAGTGGAGGAGTGAAAGACAAATACAGGGAGGCCGGCTGAGTAAACTGGAGGAAGGCAGAGATCTTTTAAAGCTAAAACTGTGATCTTAGTAGACACTCAGACAGATATGAAAGGGAAAGGAGTTTTTGAAGGCTCAGCCAGGTAAACATTAAGAGGGAGGAGAGACTCATGCCTATCTGGAAACTTGAGAGCAAGCTGAGGTAATATTACAGAGGAGTGGGAAAAAATTAATTATTTAAGAAATGCTGTGAGGACATTGGTTATCCCTCTGGGGAAAAAAATTAAGTTGGATCCCTAACTCACACCCTATACAAGAATACATTCCGGGGCTTAAAAGGAAATCTTTAAAACTCTTAGAAGATAATATAGAGTACTGGGAGAAGAAATGATGGCTTCAGGGGCTGGCCCCCTGGCCAAGTGGTTAAGTTCGTGCACTCCGCTGCGGCGGCCCAGGGTTTCGCTGGTTTGGATCCTGGGCGTGGACATGGCACCGCTCATCAAGCCATGCTGAGGTGACATCCCACATGCCACAACTAGAAGGACCCACAACTAAAATATACAACTATGTACTGGGGGAGATTTGGGAAGAAAAAGCAGAAAGAAAAAAAAAAGAAGATTGGCAACAGTTGTTAGCTCAGGTGCCAATCTTTAAAAAAAAAAAAGAAATGGTGGCTTCAATCATATATAACAACGTACAAGCTGTTAAGGAAAATTTTAATCGGTTTGACTACATTAAAAGTTAAAAGTTCTTCAAAATGGATCAAAGACATATATATGAGAACTAAAACTATAAAACTCTTAGAAGAAAACGTAGGAGAAAAACTTTATTTCATTGCATTTGGCAATGATTTCATGGATATGACACCAAAAGCATAGGCAAAAAAGAAAGAAAGATAAATTGGACTACATTAAAATTTAAAACTTCCATTCATCAAAGAACACTATCAACAGAGTGAAAAGACAATCCATTGGAGTGGGAGAAAATGTATGCAAATGATATATCTGATAAGGGGTTTATATCTAGAATATATAAGGAACTCCTACAACTTAACAAAAGCAAAAAAAATTTAAAAATGGGCAAAGGACTTGAATAGACATGTCTCCAAAGAAGATACACAAATGGCCAATAAGCATAAGAAAAGATCTCACCATGAGATACCTCCTCACACCCATCAGGTTACTGTTTTAAAAAAAAACAACAGAAAATAACAAATGTTAACCCAAGATGTGGAAAAATTGGAACTCTTGTGCACTATTGGTGGGAATGTAAAATGGTGCAGACATTGTGGAGGTAAGTATAGTCCTTCCTCAAAAACGAAACAGAATTACTGTATGATCCACTTCTGAGTGTATATGCAAGAGAATTGAAAAGTGGGACTCAATTATTTGTTCCCCCACGTTCATAATAGCATTATCCACAATAGCCGAAAGGTGGAAGCAACCCAGGCGGCCACTGATGGATGAGTTGATAAACAAAATGTGACATGTACATATGATGGAATATTGTTCAGCCTTAAAAAGGAAGGAGATTCTGACACATACTACAACATGTGTGAATTGAGGACATTATGTTAAGTGAGATAAACCTGACACAAAAAGACAAATACTGTATGATTCTGTTTATAGGTTACCTGGGGAAACCAAATTCATAGAGAAGAAAGTAGAATGGTGGTTGCCAGAGGCTGAGGGGCAGAGGGAGCAGGGAATTGGTGTTTAACGGGTATAGAGTTTCAGTTTTGCAAGATGGAAAGGGTTCTGGAGGTGGACGGTGGGGATGGTTGCACAACAATGTGAATGTACTGAAAGCCACTGAACTGTGCATTTTAAAACGATGTCTTCAATTTTATGTTATGCATATTTTACCAGAATAAACAAATTTTTAAAAAAGGCTAGAGTTTCTGCACAACTAAAGACACTATTAAAAAAATATTTAAATGAAATGATAAGCCACAGCCTGAGAGAAGAGATTTGTAACGCATACAGCTGAGAAAGGATTAGTAGCCAGAGCACATAAAGAACTTATTCACATTAATAAAGAAAAAGAAACAACTCAGTAGAAAAATATAAAAAATGTTCAAAAGGGTGTTAAATTAATTAAACAAGGAGGCCATTAGACTGAAGTGGCTTTAATGCCCTAGCAGCCTACATAAGCGAACCAAAAGCTGAGCCTATAGATGTCTTGAGGTTAAGAACTCGAAACCTAGGGTCAACCAATCACAGGCTTTCCCACATAAGGCAACTACTTAAGCTACAGCCAATGAAATAATTTCCTTGCTTTGCTTTCACGTCTTCTCTATAAAAATCTTAGCCCCAGCTCCTGATGGTGGAGCGCTGCTGACCACTTCCAGTTTGGCACTGCTGGATTTGAATCGATTTTTGCTGAAATAAACTCTTAAAATTTTGAATATGCCTAAGTTTCTTTGTTTTTTGGTAGGGAAGATTGGCCCTGAGCTAACACCTGTTGCCAATCTTCCTCTTTTTGCTTGAGGAAGATTGTCTCTGACCTAACATCTATGCCAGTCTTCCTCTATTTTGTATGTGGGATGCCACCACAGCATGTCTTGATGAGCTGTGTGTAGGTCCGTGCCCGGGATCCAAACCTGTGAACCCTGGGCCACCACAGTGGAGCACGCGAACTTAACTGCTACACCACTGGGCCGGCCCCTTCCATTTATTTTTTGACGAGGGCATTTCAGAAGAGGAAACCCAAATGCCCAATAGACATATGAAGAGATACCCAGTCTCACTAGTAATCAGGGAAATGAGTGGGGAGCCTATATTAGGGTGGGCAGAGAAGGCCTCTCTTGAAAAGGTGTCATTTGATCTAAGACCTAAATCAAAGTTTGAGAAAAACAACCAGCCATTCAAAATTCTGGAGGAAGGGCATTCCAGGCAGAGGGAACTGCAAGTGTAAATGTCCCGGGCTGAGAATATGTTTGGTGATGTCTTAGCTCAGGCTGCCATAACAAAATGCTGTAAACTAGGGGCTTAAACGACAGAAACTTACTTTCTCACAGTTCTGGAGGCTGGAAGTCTGAGATCAGGGTGCAGCAGGGTTGGGTTCTGGCGAGGGCTCTCTTCCTGGTTTTCGGAGGGCTGCCTTCTCACTGTGTCCTACATGGCTTCCTCTTCATATAAGGCCACGGTCCTTTTGGATTAGGGCTCCATCCTTATGACCTCTTTTAACTTTACCTCCTGGAAGCTGGTCTCCAGTTCCAGTCATATGGGCGTTAGGGCTTGAACCTATGAATTTTGAGGGACACAAACATTCAGTCCATAACGGCTTGGTGAGGGCTTGCTTTAAAAAGTGGATTTGAAGGGCTGGCCTGGTGGTGCAGCAGTTAAGTTCACACCTTCCGATTCTTGGCGGTGCGGGGTTCGCCGGTTTGAATCCCAGGTGACATGGCACTGCTTGGCAAAAGCCATGCTGTGGTAGGCATCCCATGCATAAAGCAGAGGAAGATGGGCACGGATGTTAGCTCAAGGCCAGTCTTCCTCAGCGAAAAGAGGAGGATTGGCGGCAGGTTTTAGCTCAGGGCTAATCTTCCTCAAAAAAAAAAAAAAAAAAAAAATGGATTTGAGGAGGCCAGAGTTCAGGACTGAAATGTGGGAGTGAAATCCTAGAGATCAACTGTGAGACTGGATAAGATGGAATGATTTCTCCCAAAGGCTATCTTTGGAAATGTAAAGAATTATGCCTTATTTGGGCTGAGGGGAGGGGAATATGGGGGGAATTATATGGGCTTTTCTTTTTATTTCTTGCCAATGGCACAAAAACTCTGTCCCCACCCCAGGGGGTTTCTCTCCTCTGAGTCTGACAAGAGAATGGGGTACAGATCCTGCTGTCTTCGCTACCCTCCATGGTCACACAGGGCCCTTAGAAATGGGTTTTACTGCTAATTACTAGGGAACAACGAAAGCATAACAAACAACGTCAAAAGGTTAAGACGTGACTCATTCAAACAAAGAATGAGCACGCTTCGAAAATGTATTCAGCTTGTTAAAGAGGAAACAGTAAGACGGTAAAGCTGGTTCAAAGAGCATTTTAAGGAAGTAGACATTTGAGGAAGTAGGAAACTTAGAGACGAAACTGGTTAATCTCCACAGCGTAATAAAAACTATAAGCCGAGGGGTTCTTTTTTCTACTGGAGAGAAATAATTTGAAACTCTACCAGACAAAATTCTGAGTCTTTCATCAATAGCAAATAGCTGGGCCACCCAAGGTACATTCCTTGGCCGACACACGGGCTGGTGGACCAAACGTGGCCCTGCTGCTTGGGTTTCCAATAAAGTTTTATTGGAACACAGCCACACCCATTTGTTCCCATCCCGTCTAAGGCTGCTTTTGCTCTACAGCGACAGAGTGCCATGACAACAGGGTTGAATAGTTGACACACAGCGTAGAGACTGAAAGCCTGAAATATTTACTATCTTGTTCCTTGACCGAAAAAGTTTGCCGACCCCTGCTAGAGAATTAATCCTTGGGTGGGCTTGTTAAACCATCTCCTAGATGACGTGGGAAGAACTATGTTGCCCTCTCTTGATCTTATTTCGAAATTTTGGATAATTTTTCTTAAAAAGGAGATATTTGGCTTAAAAATTGGGGGACATTTTGAGTTGTTATCTCAGGCCTT